ATAAAAATAAATAAAAAAATAAAGCAATAAACATTGGGTTGCCTCCCAACAAGCGCTAAGTTTAACGTCTTCAGCCAGACGCCTATGAAGTTCGATCAAGAGTTCTTCAAATCAATGTAGGATTGTCCATGGACTGAAAAGGTCGCTTCATCTCGTGCAATCAATTCTTCTTTTTTCTCTGTCAGTACTGTCATTCCTCCATTTTTCGGTACCGCTTGCACTAGACTCATCCACTCATTATTAGAAATAGAAAATATAATCCCGACATCCAACCATTTAAGTACTTCTAACCTCACAACTTCTTTCATAACGGTGTTAAAGCGTCGTTGATTTTGCACAGATGGTCTATAATCTTCCTCTAATCTTATTTTATGCATGCAAAGTGATGGACTAATACCTTTAAGATCAGACGTAGACCAACCTATAGTCGACTTATACGTATGCAACACCTTCAACAATCTATCTAATTGCTCAGAAGTTAGAGAAGATGATACAATTACCGGATATGTGCAATTATCACCCAAGTATGCATATGTCAGATGATCTGGCAATGGTTTGAGGTCCATAATCGGTGCGTCGGGCTTTGAAGAACTTGATTCGGCTGAAAAAGGGGTAGACAGTACACCTGACACGACCTCCGACACGGGCCGTGCTTGATGGTCCGGGTCGTGTCGTCGTCCGTGCTCCAAAAGCCGTACCTGGGCACCTGACACGGGCCGTGTCGCCGTCCGTGTCGCATTTGAAAATTCTGAGTTTCTCCCAGGTTTCTGACACGGTCACCTGACACGGGCATAATGCCCGTGTCACTGCCCGTGTCAGCTCTGCGCGACTTATTTTCAACTCCGATTTTTACCGTTTTGCTCTCCGAGTTCATCATATCTTCCAACTTGATCACATCACCTGAATCAATAAAGTTAGTATGCATATTATTATCATGAAGTATAGGCTTATGTATTGAAAATAACACATGCTCATCATTAATACGCAAAGTAAGTTCTCCCTTTTTGACGTCAATCAACGCATCTCCCGTTGCTAAAAATGGACGCCCTAGAATCAATGGCACGTCACTATCTTCCTCCATGTCCAATACAACAAAATCAACAGGAAAAATGAAATTATCAATCTTGACATGCACATCCTCAACAATCCCCTTTGAATATGTTATCGAACGATCCGCCAATTTCAAGGTCATTGTAGATGGCTTCACTTCTCCCAATCCGAGCTTCCTGAAAATTGACAAAGGCATGAGATTAATACTAGCACCAAGATCACATAAAGCTTTGCTAAAGAACATATTCCCAATAGTGCAAGGAATCGTAAAGCTCCCGGGGTCCTTAAGCTTTGGAGGAATCGTGCGTTGGAGGATCGCACTACACTCTTCCGTTAAGGTCACCGTCTCATGTTCCTCAATCTCCTTCTTCTTCGCAAGTCGTTGAGGAAAAGGTAAAGGGATAGAAAGTTTAGGAGAGCCAAAGTTAGAATTAAATGTAATCCCAGGCCTTGACGTTGCTATCACACTTGGTTCCTTCATTAACTCATCACAAACTTTCTCCTCTTCACTTCGTAGATAGATGGCATGACATTGCTCTTTTGGGTTCAACTCGGTATTGCTAGGAAATTGACCCCTTTGGTGCTGGCTTCCCACGGCCTTCGCTAATTGACCAATTTGCATCTCCAAATTTTTCATTTGAGCCTCCATTGTCGTAGCCAATTGTGTCACATGATTCTCAATCTTGTCCAACTTCTCTTCATCTCTGTTGAAACGATTTCTCGTCTCATTCATGAAAGCTACCAGAATATTTTCCATGTCCATCTTCTTCTCTTCGACAATCTCGCCATTCACCACCTTAAACCCCGGCGGTGGTTGGAGCACATTCTTTGTATTTCCATAGGAAAAATTTTCATGATTCCTATTATTCGGGTGATAAAAACCCGGCACCGGATTAGGGCGATAATTGTTGAAGTTCCGTGTATTGATAAAATTAGCCTCTTCTAAAGGATCCGGTGGTAACACGTTGCCTTGTACTCCATTCATCTCATCAGCTCCTTTTGCTAAAGCATTCAATTTCGTCGTCAAGGACGACATTTGAGCCGCTAACTCCTTAATAGGATCAGAAGACGTCACCTCCGCCACTCGTCTGATGTTCGTCCTCTCCGAAGGCCACTGATAACTATTCATGGCCATCTCTTCCAACAAATTGGACGCTTCCTCCGGTGTTTTAGCCAATAGAGCTCCTCCAGCAGCCGCATCTACAAAGGCTCTCGTTTGGCCCAACAACCCATTATAGAAGAAACAAAGTTGTTGATCCTCCGGAAAACCATGTTGAGGGCATCTTCTCAATAATTCTCTAAATCGATCCCACGCCTCGTATAAAGGCTCCGAGTCTTGCTGCCTAAATTGGGTAATCTCGCTTTTGAGTTGCATCGACTTGCTTGGAGGAAAATATTTAAGCAGGAACTTCTGGTTCAACTCCTCCCAAGTAGTAATGCTCCCATCAGAAATCATCGACAACCAACTCCGAGCTTTATCCCTTAGAGAAAAAGGGAATAGACGCAGCCGTATGGCATCCTCAGAGACACCATTGTACTTGACCAAATCACAGATTTGCAAAAACTGGGTCAAGTGTTGATTCGGATCCTCGGTCGGGTGTCCACCAAATTGGTTGTTTTGCACCATCGAGATATAGCAGGGCTTCAGTTCGAAATTATTCGCATTGACGGGTATATGCGCGATCCCGCCAAAATTCCTATTGAATTGAGGCCGAAAGTGGTCTCGAATTGCTTGCCTCGGTTGTTCTTGCTCTTGCTCGTCCATTGTGCACTCTGGATTGCCCCTTCTTTTTCTAGTCGTTGCACTATTGCGTCTAGCGAATGCTTCAACTTCGTCAATCAGGGGTGGTAGTTGTACACCTTTAGAACGAGTTAACATGCACTTCCTGAAATCACGAAAACGAGAGATTATGTCACCAAAAAAAAAAAAAAAAATATCTAAATTAAAATTTTCACTATCTATCGTAATATTGATATAAATAATTATATTAGTCCCCGGCAACGGCGCCAAAAACTTGTTCGCCTATATTTTTAAAGCTCGACCGCAAGTGTACGGCTTCGCTCGTAGTATGTGGCAAGCAAGGTCGTATCCCAAGAGACCAAATAATTAATATATCAAGTACCAGATTATGATAGTGTCAACTTTATTTAGACGACCGAATATGAGATGGATTAACTAAACTAAGAAAATATAATTAAAGAGAAATAAAGCAAAAATAAAGAACTAGCTAGAAAACACGTAAGAAGATATATGAGAATGATAGATTCTAAGACTTTGGTTTCAATTAATAGTTGGGTTCCTTCAGAAATATCACAACCAATGTTTTCTTTATCTTCCCTATAAGATGATCACAAATTTAGCTTATCGTCCCTCTCAAGATCGATAAAACCGTAGATTAAATCACATATATTAGCGTCTCCACTCAACACATGCAATTCAACTCCAAATAGATTAAAAGATCTAATATCCTCACAACAACCTACTAATCTCTCGATTCAAGCAAGTAAATTGTGTCAAATATTAAAGACCTAATATTGAACTCATCTCTCGAATTATGAACAATATTGTCAAACATGTAAAAACATTGGCCAAGTGCTAAACATGAAACAAGAACAAAATATTTGAATAGGGTTCAAAAGAAAACAATCAATTATAATAAATCATCCAAAATCCCAACATATTAATCTACTACCAAGTCTTAGAATCAAATAAATTAGCTACTCATGTTTGAATTCAAATACATAGACATATTAGAAATCAACATGATCAATAAAAGTTCAAAAGAAAAGAAGAAAGAAAAACTAGGAATCTCGTCGATCTTTCAATCTCCTTGATCCCTTCGTAGTTGATCTCCTTTTGCCTTCCAATTGCTCCTCTTGTGTGTTTCCAAGCCTCTCTAACGTGTTTCCCTCTTTTTGGCCTCTCAAACTAGGTTAAATATGCTTCCTCTTGTGTCCAAAAACCTCTCCTAGTCAAATTAGGCAAGTATTAAAATTCTGTTCCAGCGCGCGACACGGCCTGACACGCCCGTGTCACAGCCCGTGTCACGGGTCGTGTCAGGTATCAAGCCTCGGAATGTCCCTGTTCATGTGACACGGCCACCTGACACGGGCACGTCCCAGCACACTTGTTCTTGTCCGTTTCACTTGTTTCTTCCATTTTTCTCATCCGTGCATCAATCCATCATCATCTCGGGGGTCCTAGGTATTCACAATGCGCCTCCAATAGCCACAAGCTCTATAAATATGTGAAAATATCTACAAAACAAGCACGTGTAATACCTTTCCAACAAATAGAGAATTAAAGCATAAATATGCAATTTATACACCAATAACGCAATGACTAAGCTCTAGATACTCAATAAATATGGTGTAAAATCACACATGAACAAGGGACCGCTGATCCTAAAAACATCGCCGCAGCCTTGGTGAAGAAAAGTGCCGCGGCCGCGACCCTCCTCCGCGGTAGCGAGAGACAGCCGAGGCCGCGAAATTTTTACTGCAGAAAATGAGAGATGGGACCAAAGTATTAGTGGCCGCGGCCGCGGTGAAGGAAGTCCCGCGGCCCGCTGCGATATTTTTTTTTTTTTGCTCAAGAAACCTGTTTCTCGCCCAAGAAACCTGTTTCTTGAAACAAAATACAGGTTTCTTGTCAAGAAGATGGTTTCTTGAGCAAGGTTTGTTTGAAGATCTCTTCCCGGCTCTTTCAATTGGCAAGGTATATTGGGTAATCCAATCCAACATAATATTGTCAATTCACACCAATTCTAATAGTTTTACTTAGATTTTACGATTGTTTACAATGACATAATTATTTAATAAGTAGAAAATAAATCCAACCCACAAATTCAACAAATCCAGCCCAAATTCACTTCAAAACTTTAAGCATGCGTTATAATGAACAAACCACAGTAGTCAATCCAACCCACAAATATTCAATGAACACAATATGCAACCATCCAAGTTTTCCAAAGTGCAAAAATAGCTAAAGTCACAGTACTCAATCCTCCAGCTTTCCAAGTGCAAAAATAGCTAAAGCCATTTTCTTTCGGTAATTTTTAATATCTTTCCTAGTCGGCTTCTGCGGAAAGACGTCCCCAAGCATGCACTCTACGTACATGCACGCTAATGGCCCACAATTGTGAACATCAGTCTATACAAATTGTTCGTCTGCTGGCATAATTTTAATCGATAAAGGGTTAGTCGGAGGTTTAATCCTCTGCTTCGAAAAAAAGCCAGACCGTTGCAATAACGGTGGCAGCAAGTGGGTGAGAGGGGCCAATGTCTCTTCTCGACCAAGAATGTCCTCGGAATTGTGGGCCAACGAGTCGTAGACATGGATCTCCCGCTTTTCTAAGACCACACGGCATACCATCCAGTGGTCCCCCACATTACATACCAAGACGACCTGTTCAATTCAATCCACAAATTATCAATTAAAAACTTTCACAGAAGTTGGATAAACTTTTTAAAAATCACCATTTCATTATAATAGCATCACTAATAAATCCAACCACTTACATTAGAATTTTGAAGCCAAGGTTTACCCCAACCAACAGCTTTACCACGAACATATTTCACAATGCCCTGAGGTGCCTTCCACTCGTTAGAATCATTCCACTTCTTATAAGGACAACCAAGCTTACGCCACTCATTCTCCAACAAGCTCTGATAAAAACATTTTAGCGTAAGTAGAACGTTGACAATTTCAAATAACGATAACAATACTTACAAATAGAGTTGCGTCCTGGATGTTAATCATTGCGCTAGAAATTGTTGCCTTTCCCTTTTTGGTATACAACCTTCGGGAAATTGCCTCAAGAAATGGATCAATGTGCTACAACAAACATGGTTCCCAACTTATTAATATCAAAGAAATGTGGTTGAAAATGAGCATTAAAATCCACTTCCAAAAAATAATACTTACAATCTGAGAAAGACTTTTCCGAAAGCCCTCAATATATTCAAAGTAATCTCGTCCACGTAAGAACTTAGGTGACTGCCCAACGTTCAATCTAGAAAAGGAAAAAATCATTATTAATGATCATAAAAAGACTATTGTACAAAATGCAAAGATAACAAATCAACACTTACAGCCTAGCGTCATCTTTAGTGTGCATCCATTTGTTGTAGGCGCCGCTCAATTTGTCCTCTTCGTCCTTCTGCTGTAAGTTCACAAAGGGTGAACTTACATTTTTGCTCAAGTACCTCAAACGTCGTGTTTGTAGTGGAACATTATCCTCATCATCCTCCTCCTCGATCGCCTAAGAGTTTTTGGAACATAAAATATTAGTTTTAGGAGAACCCAAATTTAATTCTGGAACATGTCAAATGCAAATGTCAACAACTTACTTCATCACCATCACCATCCGGGGACTTCTCCATACAAAGAACTTCCTCATCAACCGCCTAAGTGTTTTTGGAACAACAAAATATTCATTTATGAGAACAAAAGTTTAATTCTGAAAATAATGTACATATGTCAAAACAGAACTTGTCACATGTAAATGTCAATAAGTTACCTTAGTGTTCACCACCTGCTGCGCAAACTCAGGGGACTTTTTCTCCACATCAACATCGTCATTATCCACCTTAGAGTTGTTGGAACCAAAAATATTCTTTTTACGAGAAGAAAAGTTTAATTCTGGAAATAATGTACAAATATAAAAAAGATAATAGTTTTAGGAGAACAAAATTAATTCATTCCCAACCACCTGCTCCACTTCCTCCCCCGACTTTTCCTTCTTCTTCCTCCCCCGCCTCTCCCGCACCCTCTTCACCATGGAGGAAGCCTGTTGCTTCTCCTTTGGTGGTCGTTTTTTCTCCTTTCCTTCACAATCCCTTTTTTTCTCCTCTTTTTTCTCCTCCTCTTCTTTATCAGCCTCCTTCTCCTTCTCTTTTTCCTCCCCCTCATCATTCTTTTCCTCTTCCTCCTGTTTCTCCTCCTCTTCTTTTTTCTCTTCTTCTTTCTCAACCGCGTTCTCCTTCTCTTCTTCCTCCCCCTCATCATTCTTTTCCTCTTCCTCTTGTTTCTCCTCCTCTTCTTTTCTCTCCTCTTCTTTCTCAACCGCGTTCTCCTTCTCTTCTTCCTCCTCCTCATCCTTATTTTTCTCTTCCTTCCCTTGTTCCTCTTCTTCCTCCTCTTCTCTCTCAGCCTCGTTATCAACCACCTAAGAGTTTTTGGAACAATAAATATTAGTTTTAGGAGAAAAAAATTTTATTTTTTTGGAAAAATTCATAAATGTGCAAATGTCAAAAAAGTTACCTCATTACCAAAATTTGGTACCGCCTGAGAGGACCACTTGAGAGGACCGCTTGATTCTCCTCGAGTGGAGAAGGCCGCCTGAGAGGACTGCTTGACATCATTTAACAAAGAATAAAAAAAATTGAACTTTTGAAAAATGTTAAAAGGGACACGTGAAATGCAAAGATTAAAAAGTTACCCCATGACCAAAATTTGGAGTGGATCGACTATCAGCACCTCGAGTTTTATCCCCAACTCTTGAAACAACATAAACATTAATCGTTTAAAAACCTCATCAAATGCCTGATTAATGGCAATGGGGACGACCTGACTTAAAGTTTGTTCCACTATCGCAGGCATCAACTCTTTCAGGCAATTTGAAACGCCTTCCTCCACCCTTTGCTTGATGAGGTCTTTGTCCATTCCAACCGGCTCCTTTTGAGGCTCCCTCGGCTCCCTCTCCATCTCTTTTTCAACTCCCTCATATGCCTCTACAGTCGGCTTCTTCGAATGTCTGCTCATCAGCGGTCCAATCTTCCTTTTTTTGGTGGCAGGTCTATGACGTGAAGAAGAGGAGGCATCACCTAGCGGCTTACAACAACTCTGCCACGAGTCGTGGTGGATATATTGTAGCCCCATTGATAAGTCCAAATAAACATTAGCCATATACGGCGCATTCCTCTCGGCATCTGTCAGACACATTGGTCTACATTGAATCTGTTAAGAAAATGCCAAACCAAAAAAAAAAAATGACAGAAAGAATAATAAGAATAATAATAATTTCATAACAAGAATTATATAGCAAAATTAATGTATAACATATATATTTACCTCGGGCTTATCAATGTCAGACAACTGAAGAAAATTTTTCTTCGGGCAAATCCACCGAGTGCCTCTCGGTAAACCATGTCCGATGCACACCATTCCACCTCCTCGTACAAACTCGGGCATCATCTCACAAGCCCATATCTATTTAGAAAAAAAAATCGTAAATGGTCTTTTTAAACTAAATAACAAAAAATAATGAAACAATTGTAAAATTGTATATGTACCTGAAAGGGCATTAAAAAACCATGGATGTTCAACTGAACGTCACACCCCTCATCTGGTTCACTTATACCATCGAGACAATGGTATAAACGCTGAAACGAAAATGTGCCCCAAGGAAATTTCCCGAACATGTCCAAATTTTCAACTAACATCCAGAGCCAAAGTGGAACAGCGGACCTCTGGTCGGGTGCAAAAAAGAAATAGTGAACAATTAAGATCATGGAAACCTTCAGCGCATCATCGGGAATATTCTGAAAATGACCGTTCGTGAAATCCCTCAACAGATCACCTCCTATCACACTCTCGCCGTCATAGTGGCGTCGATATACCCCATCAATGGCCGGTAGACTCTCATTCTCCTCGGGGATGAATTCCGACTCACCAAACATCAAGCCACTGATTTGGCAAAATTCGACTTTCCCGAATTTATAATTAATTCTCGTTCTCTCTCGAGCGTCACGGAGAAAAACCTCTCGGCCAAGTAAGGCAAGTAGTAGTCTCCCACTGTAGTACGCTTGCTCATCAAACCTCAAGAATTGTCCAAAACAAGATTGTTCAAACTCCCGAAGACGGCCACAAGCACCTAATTGACGCTTAATATAGCCTATTACTTTAGGCTTCGTCTGACAATTGATTCTGCCGCCCCAAGTGTAACCTTTACCCCATCTCCAACTCCAAGAGTCCCCCTAACAATCGTGAAACAATCAATATTATTTTAATTTTTTTAAAAACACAATATTAAAAAACAGGTTAAAAACTAGTTTCTTGTTAAAAAAACATGCTTCTTTACATGAAACAGGTTTCTTGTCAAGAAACATTGTTTCTTGTGAAGAAACAGGTTTCTTGACAAGAAACAGAAGTTAAACAACAAACTCTTTCTTGAGTAAACAACATAAACTCATTAGAAACTCATTAGTTTCTTCAACAAAAAAACTGAAGTTTTTTCACGTAAACTACAAAACTTATTTTTGTGCAAAAAAACATCATACCTCATTAGCGGTTGCCATCTCGTCGTGTTCCAAGAATAGCGCCTCAAAGATGTAGAGATTAATTTGAAGATCTTTTTTCAAACTAAGAAAATGATGAAATGCATCAATTTACATTTAAAAAAAAAGCTACTTAGTATCTATAAGTAAAGACCAGTATCTATGTAGATACATAACTTAAACATATAAACAATTTGGCTTTCAAGTAACTTGAATTACAATAAAATAAGCACCCTTATGTGCTCAAGTATTAGATGACAGCCACTAATGTTATTGAATCCCGATTATGTAACCTAATTAATCCACCACAAGCCATAAGCCCTCATTGACTTTTAGATATTATTATTTAGCAGCAGATAATCCACCACAAACCATAAATTTAATTAATCCACCACAAGCCATAAACTTAATTAATCCACCACAAGCCATAAGCTCTCATCCACCACAAGCCATAAGCCTTAAGGTGGCATCTGAAAGGTACAAATGCAGCAGATAAACGTGAATCGGGCCAGTACATAAATCACGAATGAGAAAGCTTTGATGTCCCAATAGCACACAAAAGTAGGGCCAAAAACTTCAATCTGAAAACCTTTTATTGACTTTTTCAGCAAAACTTACTTTCACCTATGACTCATATGTAGTTCAAAGTTTGATGGCTCAGTTGTGCAAATGCCCCTACATTACCCTAACATCAAGCCACCCAGAACAGACAACAATCAAAGTAAATTCTCAAAGGAAGCTCATCTAGCAGCATTTCACATTTCGAAAATTGAAAATGATAACACAACAAACCAGAGAACAACTAAAAAATGAATTTACAAACCCTTTATAAAAAATCCTAAAAAACCCTAAAAAATCGCAGTTGAGGAACCGCACCTTTGAAAGAGTAGCGGCGCCGAGGAAGAGCAGCGGATCGCCGGAATAAGAAGAGACTCGCCGGAATGAGACGAGCAACGAACTGTGACTCGCCGGAATGAGAAGAGCAGCACTCGACGGACTGTGACTCGTCGGAATGAGATGAGCAGCACTCGATGGACCGTGACTCACCGGAATGAGATTAGCACCGTGAATCGCCGAGAAGAGCACCGTGAATCGCCGAGAAGAGCTCTGTAAAAGTTTTCAATTTTTGAGGTGTGAAAATGGGGAAAAATGAGGGCGGGCAGTGTAATGAAATTAGGGTAAAAATAAAAATGAGAAAAAATGACAAAATGGTGTTAAGGGCAATTAGGGCTTTTCGCAAGGCCAAATGGCTATATTTCATTTTTTTAGAAAATGTGGCTATTATTCATTTTTTCTTTTGTTTAAAGGCCATTAAAGGGCATTACCACTTTCAAAAAATGGTAGGTGAGGGTTTAGAGGGAAAACNACAAAGTTACCATATTCTAACATATAAGGGAACAATTTCGGTCCAATTATTCAATGATTTCTTCAAAAACAACTTCATGATTATAACACTAACAATATAACAATGAAGGAACATGAGTAAGTACAACACCTTAAACTCCAACTTTTTCACACACGGAATTAAGTGACATGTTTCACTTAGTAATATTCGTAATATTTCAACGAAAATCGACTCAACTACTTTATGTCACATGGATTCACACACCATTTATCTCTTATAAATGATCAAAATTTTCAAGAAAGGCACCCAGACCCAACAAGATTAAGTGAATACCCAAAATTGTGGTTATTTTATTTCTATCTTTCCATACATAACCGAAAAACGGAAAAGATTCTTCCAGCGTCTTGGGTCCCAGATGTGCATGATAAATACCGCCAAAGCCCAACACTGCAGAGGAAATTAAATGAAGGACTCCAGATACAAAGTACGGAAAGGTATCTACAACTTCCCCCCCAGGACCTACTACCCAACCTAGAGTAGCTAAATGGGGAAGTAAAATTAATCCTTGTTCATACATATGCTTCTCTGGTACAAAATGAGCCACTTCAAATAGGTTCATTGCTCCAGCCCAAAATACAATTAACCCGGCATGGGCTACATGAGCTCCTAGTAGTTTATCGGATAAATTAATCAGTCGGGCATTTCCGGCACACCAAGCAAAACCGGTACTTTCTTGGTCACGACCAGCTACAGCTAAAGTTCCATTAAAGAGTGTTTCCACGTGGTAGAACCTCCTCGGGGAATATAAGGTTTTCATGGGGCTGATCTCAAAAATCAGCCCCAATACTTTGTGGCATGCTAATCCCGTTTAATAAACTTCCACACCCTGTTTCACTTACTAACAACAACTATACACTGATGTTAAGCTCATTACTTTGGAGTGTGGTTATTCTGCAAAATGTTTTTCTTGAAACACAATTAATGTACTTTTGATAAATGTGAAATGGACAATCTTATACTCCAGATGAACTCACATTACACACAGTAATGACTGCCAGTAGCCTTCACACCTCAAAATTTTTTAGCATGTAACTAATTTCGCAAGTGATCGCAAGTAAAACACCTCATGCGATAGTTGTCCAATGCTCATTTGTATGAGTGTAGCTCTTTAAAGTGTAATGTAATGGTCACTGTGCATTAATCAATAGGAACTCAGTCTGAAACTCCAAACACTAAACTTAGTTGTCACACTCATATGCAAGTTTTCAGATTCACTTTTTGGTGAAACTAAATAAGGACCCTAAGAAAATGCCTAATGCAAAAGAAACTACATGACTTAACCAGCTGAACAACCTAGTATATAAAGTATACATAATGTAATCACATCACATAATGCACATTCCTAAGGATTTCCTTATAAATAAAATCTTCGTGATTCTAATGCTTTTGTAAAAATGTCAGCAAACTGATCTTCTGTAGGTACTGATCTAATACAATAGTTCCATCTGCAACCAAATTCCAAATAAAGTGATTCCTTATGTCAATATGTTTAGCGCAAGAGTGTTGAACAGGATTTTATGATATGTTTATGGTACTGGTGTTATCGCAAAAAAGTTGGCTAGAATGTACCTTCAAACCATACTCGAGAAGAAATTTTCTCATCCAAGCAAGTTGAGTGAAACAACTCCAACAGCTATGTACTCAACTTCCATGGTCGAAAGTGAGATGCAATTTTACTTTTTGTAGAACCACGTGACAAGATTTGTTCCAAATTAGAAGCATCCACCAGAGGTTCTCTTTCTATCATCTAGATTCCCTACCCAATCAGCATCACAATAACGTGCGAAACTCAAACTTACGTCAGCAGGGTAAAAAATCCCATAGTTCGATGTTCCACCAACATATTTGATGATATGTTTAACGAATTTCAAATGTGATTCCTTGGGATCTGACAAATATCCCAACACTAAAGAAAATATCACGTCTACTTGTAGTGAGATAAATGAGACTTCCGATCATGCTACAGTAAAGAGTTTGATCTATAGATGTACCTTCTTTGTCCTGCACAACTTAGTGTGAGTGCCCATGAGAGTCTGAGGGTTTTTAGCAGTTTCAAGACTGAACTTCTTAACGATATTTTTAGCATATTTACTTGGATTGAGAAAGACATCAACCTTACCTTTGTTTAATGTAGCCTGAGAAAGTATGCAAGTTCACCTACCGAACTCATTTCAAATACATAGGACATGAGTTTTACGAAATGATTGATTAATTTATTGGAGGTTAACCCAAAAATGATGTCATCAACATATATTTTCACCACAAGAATATCCTCATTGGTCCTTTGTGCAAACAAAGTTTGATCTGCTCCCCCTCGCTTGAATCCCTTGTTGATATCAAGATAGAATATCTTGATATTATGATAGAATTAAAGATATCGTGAAGTTTAATTCATAAACTGGATTCTGGACGACGTCAAGCAGGATATATTGTATCTCGGTAATCTCATCTCGGTACCTATAATTGATGTCGCAGAATTTTCGGAAGTCATCAGCACAAGTCGTCTAAACCTTGAAAAAGGCCAACTCGGTCAAAGAATTATTTACTAAGAAGTCGTAGGATATTGAAGATCTATCAAAATACCGACATCGCAAGACGAACCGACTTCAATCCGACAGATGTGACACCCGTCACACAGATAGAGGCACACCCATGCTAATCATTACCTAAAAAGTTCATTTACATCATCGCCGCCCCTACGATGTCAAATCCTCATTAAAACGGGAATGATTTGTCTAGGGATGTGTGCCAAGTATAACTATAAATAGCAGCTTCAAAAACGAGAGAAGGGTTCGAAAAAAGATCATACACATTCATATATTCAACTCGGCTATCTCACTGTAAACCGACTTGAAATACATTGAAAAACCGACTTCCCTGTACTGAAACCGACTTCAAAATATTCAATAAAAATCTCATTTTCTGCAATCTTCTGTGTTAATTTTACATTGTTAACGTTGATTAAATCCGTTTATCAACATTTTGGCGCTAGAGGAAGGGCTCCATAAGATATTTGGAGTTAATTTTCGAAATATACACACCACATCTCATAAAATCAAGAATGTCACAGTCCGGACACGACAATCCAACAACCATGGGAAGCGCCGTTCGTGTTGTTGAACCGCCAACCGGTCAACATAATCCAGTACCTGTGATGCCGGACATTACCCTGCTCATGCAGAACCCTGAATTTGCTCGCGGACTCACCGCTTTGGTGGCCCAAACCATGCCGGGGCCATCACACAGGATACCAGGACAACCTTTCGCTCCTATAACTCCGGCGAGACAGCAAGGTCCTCCCATACAAAGGGATAACAACAATCAAGCGGCGTCCCATGCCACTTCACAACCACGTGACAATAATCCACCCGCCCCACCGGCGAACAACGTACTGCCTGCAGAGATGAATCAACCAGAAATGGTTGCTGAAAGTAACCCTCGGCGTGCTGAAAGTTATCCTCGACATGTGCCCAGAATTCCTCATGCGGCTCGTTCATTATTTCAACAAACTGAGAATCCGGCTGACCTGAGAATGCAGATTGAGCGTAATCGTTGCGCTCGACGTAATGCTTCCGAGGTCGAGGCATTAAGAAGAAAGGTGGCAGAGTTGGAAGCCCGACAAACCACTCAAATCAGACCTTACCAGCATTCTCACGTGCCAGAATCGGGCCATGTCTATATGGAAGTCGGTTCTCCCCTAGCAGCCGAGTTGACCAGAGGTCCGTTACCGGGAAAAGTCAAAGCCCCCCAAATTGGCCTCTACGACGGAAACGCTGATCCTGATGCTCACCTCGGACATTATACGTCATGGATGGACTTGCATGGTGCTGACGATGCTTTACGATGTCGTATGTTTTCCTTAACATTAGGTCCTAAAGCTCAGAAGTGGTACTATTCACTACCGACTGAATCGATCAGATGTTGGGGTCAACTCAGGTCGGCTTTCAGGTCCCATTTCATCGGGGCTCAAATTAGCTTGATACCTAAGGAATGGATTACGAACATAGTCCAAAAGGAGGATGAAAGTTTAAAGGACTATATTGCACGTTTTAATGAACGCGTGCAAAACATGGAACCTTGTCATCCTGAGACACTCCTTGTCTCAGCAATCTCTGGATTAAAGCCAAGATCCATGTTTCGCTGGGCGCTATGTCAGAACAAACCCAGCACCTTTCAAGAGTTCCTTGTTCGCGCTCAACAACATGTTATTGCCGAAGTGTCCATGTCGGTTCCCAACTTTGAATTCTCCTCGTCAAAAGAGCAGAAGCCGACTTTTGAAAACAAGAAAAAGAAGCACCTCGACAACTCGTCCAAGAATTTACCTTTCAAAGAACCGTATAAAGGAGAACAGAACGATGCCGACATAAAAGCTGCCAGGAGACAATACAAGGAAGATCTAACCACAGGTTACCGATCCATCTACTGGGTCGGTGCCGCGACGGTGTATCAAGAGATCAAAGGAAAAGGAATCATTCCTGAAGCTCGACCAGTCAAGACTCCTGAAAGTCAATTGGACAAGTCACGGTATTGCGATTACCATCGATCTCCAGGTCACAATACCGATGAATGTCTAAGTCTATTGTCGGCTCTCCTGAAGTTGATTGGAAATCCACAAGTGCGAAAATTTACCAAACATGAAGGTAAAGAAAGGAGGCAAATAGCTCATGTTCCTGATCGAGATGAAGAAGATGAAGACGCAATGAATTCCAAAAGAATTCGTCTACAACAAGGAGAAAAGGAGATATTCATGTTCGGGGCAGAAGGATCCAGGTCGGTCGACGACCGACTTGGAAAAAGAAACAGGGACTTCGAGAGTCCCAACTCTAACCGTACTCCTCAAATCCCAATTCGGTTAGGCTCTGTCCCCCGAATTAACACTAACCGAGAAGAGTCAACGTCCTCACGTCGGCAGGCCAAAGCATACGCCAGGAGGGCATACAACTCGGGGAAACAAATAATGAATACCGATCTTCGGGAAACAATTAACTCGCGCACTTGCCCGATCACTTTCACATTAGAAGATGCGAGCTTGTTTGATCATCCTCATTCAGATGCATTAATCATAACCGCCCCAGTTTGCGGGATTCCCGTTCATCGTATAATGGTGGACACCGGTGCATATTCAAGTATCATTATGCTTCAAGCCTTTAGGAAACTTGGACTTGATACAGCCGACGTCCGTCCAAGCAACGATAAAATACACGGATTCAACGGAAGCGTGTCTCTTCCGTTAGGAGAAATAACTCTCCCCATCAGGTTCGGATATGGGCAGACTTCCAAGGTCATCATGGAAAATTTCAAAATCATGGAAATCAACAATGAATACAACGCCATCATCGGAAGGACGGCCCTGTACAAATTGCGAGCAACAGTGTCCATTTTCCATTATGCGATCAAGTTTCCGACCGCTGATGGTGAGGGGACCCATTATGGCGATCAGTTGGGAGCTCGTGAGCTAATCTTAGCCATCCCTTCTCGAGAGATCCATAACTTGGAGATGCACGTTGATGAAAATGA